GGGACTCTGTCCAGCAGAGTCCAGGAAAGACGACACAGACACCAAGGTGAGGTTCAAGCTTCTGTTTCTCTTTCTTCCTTTATTCTCTCTTATTCTCTCTCATATTCTCTTCACTATGATGCTGTCTCTCTTCTATTACACACTTCAGCTCTTTATATAGCGTTTCCAACAGCCCTCCCCGCAGCCGGTACCAATCAGGGCTCACACACGTGCAGCGGCCAGGCAGAGTGTAGCTCGTTAGGCACGTAGCAAGATCATCAGGCTGGCAGCACCTGTTTGGCCTCTCCATACTTTCGAGTAAACAAGCGGGAATCACGAGCCTTGGCAATCAGCCAAGAGTTGGAGTAAACAGCACGAGGTTTGGCAGCCAGCCAGGGCGCCATCTGGCTGGCTCAGCTGTGCTCGCTTCCCACATAGTAGGACTTCTGTTTTCTAACATCCTCAGAAATCTCATTTATTCCTCAAGCTGTAATTTATAGAATCTTACTTTGAGCATTCCAAAATCTCTACAATTGTTTGGGTGTACACATATTTCTTACAATTCCTGAGAAAATTAGAAGTCATAAGTACATTAGGACTTCTGTTTTCTAACATCCTCAGAAATCTCATTTATTCCTCAAGCTGTAATTTATAGAATCTTACTTTGAGCATTCCAAAATCTCTACAATTGTTTGGGTGTACACATATTTCTTACAATTCCTGAGAAAATTAGAAGTCATAAGTACATCGTACACACACACACACACACACACAATTCCTGTTTGTTATCCTCAGAAATGAAAACTATTATTGACCTTTTAGATGAAAAAGAGAATAAAAAATTGGTTACCAGGATGTGAAAAGGGTCTAGGGAAGAAAGGCAGGAGGAGAGGATGGCTGGGGTTTACTGGGGTTTATATGGGATTGATGAGTAACTTCTTATGTTCTATAGAACAGTAGATCTCTGATTGATAGCAATTCACTATTTCATAAAAGCTATTACAGAAATTTTAAATGTTCCCACTGAAGAAGCCGAGAGACTTACCAGTTACTTTCATTTGATCACTACACATTATGTGAGTGCATTTCTAAATGATACTGTTTTCTATACATGGTGCCATTACCATTTATTAGGTAAATTGAATAATAGAGAATCTGGATTAACAGTAAAAAGTCTATGCTCATCAATGAAGAAAAAATAATTGTTACTGAGAGTAAAAAGGGAGTTAGACTCACCCAAGCACACCAGGCTGCTGTAGTTCTCCAGCATCACATCCCTGTAGAGGGTCCTCTGAGCAGCATCCAGGTCCTGCCATTCCCACCAGGTGAAGTTCATAGCAATGTCCTCAAGTAAGATTGAATTCTGTAATGACATGTTGCTAAATCAGCCTATGGAGTAAGTCTTCAGAACAGAAAATGGGAGTTTACACTACAGTATGGATGTGCCTTAACCATGTTTTATTGAAGATGCTGCTTGATTTGTGCCATGGGAAAAAGAAATATCAATACAAATATCTTACTTGTCACAACTAAAGAAATTTCAAAGGACTCACAATAAAAAGAATATACGCTGCCCACGTTCACCCTACTGCAATCTCAGGCCCACTGTTTCCTCCTGGAAGAGTTTTCCCATGAACTGAGTTTCACAGCTTTGCCATAATCAATTTCAGGGAGAGCAAGTTCTGAGAAGGGACTTAGATACATTAAATTCTCTGGGATCACATAAAAACAAATGATTTTAGGAGGAGGTGTAACCACTTCCATGGCTAAAAATTCTGACAAGTGATTCAGAAAAGGCTAAAAACAAACAAACAAACAAACCAAACAAACAACAAAAAACAAAACAAAACCCACAGAATCCTGTGTAGGCAGAACACTTACATATCTATTCTCTTCCAGTGCCTTATCTGAAGCTTGGATTCCAAGAAATTTGCACCACAGACTGAATTACTCAAATAGCTGAGTTCCTACAGTTGCCACACACCTTCTGGAGGCTTTAGGATACATGGGCAGGGCAAAAGGCAAACCTAGCACTTTACCTAATATGTTGTTTGAGAATGTAGAGTTAGGACTGACATTTTGTTTTAATTATCTTTTTTTTAACTTTTACAAAAATTATTGAGAAGTTCATACATGCATATAAGGTGTTTTGATCAAATCCATGCCCACTCCCTCCCTTCCAACACCTCCCATATCTCCCCATCACTTTTTTCTATTTATTTTCTTTTTTTTCCTTCTTTCATTTATTTATTTTTATGGGGCTTTTGGGTACTCTAACATTTCCCCCTCTGAAGAGGTAACCCTAAAATCTTTTAAGGATTAGATAAAAGCTCCCGAATACTTTCAACATTATTGGCCTTGTTTTGATCAAATCCATGCCCACTCCCTCCCCTCCAACATTCCCCCCTCTGAAGAGGTAACCCTAAAATTTTTTAAGGATTAGATACAAGCTCCCAAATACTTTTGACATTTTTGGCCTTTGGAACAGAGTATGTTGCTAACAGTCCCAAGGACATTTTGACTTTTGGCCAAGAAACTGGCTACTTTTCTTTGGGGTCTTTTTACCATAACTGCCTAGCCAATTCCTGCCTCCTATCCTTACCACACCATCCTCTGAAGAGGTTACCAAAATTGCCAATAGGGAATAGGGACACAGATCCCTCTGGCTTCTTCCGTGCTGAACAGGGATGCAGGGTGAGGCAACTGGAGTATCCTTTCAGTGGGTCTATCTAAAAGACTCCCAAATTGCATAACTCTTACCTCTAAGAGGAAAAAAAAGGCCTTGAATCATGACTAGGAGATGTGAAGGAGAAGTAAAGGCAAGATTAATTAGCATTACAAGTTCTAGACAGGGAACTAGAAAAAAGTCAGAGCAGGGCATTTTTCAAATGTTCATATGAGAGTCCATTGGAATTTCTTGAGAAGGGCTTCCAAAAGCATCCCTCTATTGGGTTCCTCCTCATTTTTCTTTTGTCTACCAAGGCTGGAGTCTAGAGTGATGGATTCAGGATTTGCTTTCAGGTATTTTGATAGCACCACATGGAGGTAGGGTCTGGGGGCTCTTAGGCAGTCCCCTGGGTTTTCAGGCCCCCTGCTAAATGGAGGCAGAGGGAGGCCAGAGTTCGGCACTCTCTGGTGGTCTGCTCAGGACTGACATTTTATAAATTGGTATCTGGTTCTTGAAAATAAACAGAACTTTCAAAAGATATAACACTCATTAATGTTGGTACTCATTCATAGGAATACAAACCATAATTTCAATTAAATTCATGTTCATTGTAATGCTATTTAGCATCACTTACATAAAGACACAGAAGAATATTCTTCCCAGCTGCAGGTCATTCAATTTCTCTCCTGGGAGGCGCCACACCCCACCATAGCTGAGGTTGAGAGGACTGAAGGGCTGATACTTACACCATGAGAAACTGGAGATATTGCAGTCGTGGGTAGTTGGTATCCAATAGTTCTCACACCAGACGATGTAGTGTGGACACATAACCCTGTAAAGTTTGCAAGGGGGGAAGTCAAGCCCAAGCAATTCTGATAAGGTATCTCTACCCAAGGATGACAAGACAGTAGAGACACCAAGACAGTTTATGAGGTGTCAAGTGAACCGGCATGAGTTTCCTTGCATATGAAATGTTCACAAGCAGAATTTAATTTCTCAAAAATGTATTGCTGGAGCTGGAGAGATGGCTCAATGGCTAAGAGAACTTGCTGCTCTTATAGAAGACCTGGGTTTATTTCTTACCACTCCCATCAGGTAGATAAAAACTGGATGTGAATTCCACACCCTCTTCTGGCCTTCTGAGGCACATGTACACACATGAAGCATATACAGACAAGTGGGCACACACACACACATAAATTTAAAATATTTTTTAAAAAAATGTATTGCTCCAGGATTGAGAGGAAAAAAGTCAAATTACTGTCTGTTTGAAATATAACATGAGGATCTAAAAGTTGATCACATTCCTGAAAAGGGGAAGTTGATGTATGGGAATGACTGCAGTGAGGTAAAATTTTTGGAAGTTGTTAACAGTTCTGGTCAGGGTTCTGATCTGAAACCCTGCTCCCAAACATCTGGAAACCTCAGGAATAAACAGGTGATTTTCTCTTTCATTTTATTTACTTTTGCAGCAGGGTATCTCTCATGTGACCTTGAATATGGGATGTACACAAGGATGACACTGAACTTCTGATGTTCCTGCCTCCATCTGCCCAGTGGTCAGATTTTAAGAGCTCACTACCACAGCCTGCTTAAAGTGTTCTGAAAACAAATGGCTCTGTGCATACTAAGCAAGAACTCTATGAACTAAACTATAGCCTACCTCAATTATTAAAAAGCATTTTTAATAGGGATTTAACCCCAGTCATAATTACACAAAGATACACTTGGTATAGAGAGTGTACATACAAAAATATTGGGGTGGGCTTCTCAAGAGAAAGTTGCTGGTAAGTCTTTAATTATTGTTATTTGTGACTTGTGAGGTTATATCTCAAAGAGTGAATGAGGAACATTAATGGGATCACATGGTGATTCCTTAGGTGTACTGGACAGTACTACACACAGCTGATGATATGAAATCTTAGAAGCCCTTTTGTATCTATGCTTCTTTTCCAATTTCACTTTGGGAAGGGGAAGGACAAAATATTTGCTCAAGGTCATCATTGGAAAATCAAGCCAAATGGAAGGACTGAATGAAAATTTAGGTATTTATCCTATAAAAGGTTTAGTTTTGCGAGAGTCTCAAGAGCACTTTAGGTTTATATCTGGTAGGTACTAAGGTCATATTTTAGGACCATATACCATTAGGTCTCAAGAATGGTTCAGAGCTACGTTTTTATTCTTATTTGAAATATCAATATACAGAAGGAATATAGTTTGCTCATAGGCAACCTTTACAACAAGTTGTCAACCGTGGTGCAATTCTGGACTCTGAGCTGGCAAGAGACTTCAAATGTTGGCCATCAAAGTGGCTTACCAAATAAAAGCCCATACCAACAAGGCTGATGGCCTGAGTTTGATCACTGGACCTCAAATCACAGATATGAAGTGGAAAATTATTTCTTTACAATGTTTTTTCTTTTACAATGGGATCTTCACATGCTTAAATCTTTTTGCACAACTGGCTAGTTTTAAGATGTGTTGTACAGCTGCCTTAGGTTTCTCTTCTCTCATCTTACGATGTCTTTTTCCTCTGGATGCCCCTTGCTATATGTGCTGGATAGCTTCAGCTGTCAACTTGACACACCTAGTTGAGCATCTCAACTGAGGAATTTCCTCCATTGGACTGGTCTGTGGGGCATTTTCTTGCTTGCTGAGTGATGTGGGAGGTCCCAGCCTATTGTGGGCAGTGCCACCCTTGGGCAGGTGGTTCAGTGTGGTATAAGAAAGCAAAAACAGGCAGAGCACAGGGCTGGGGAGCAAGCCGGTAAGCAGTGTTCCTCCATGGTCTGTGCTCCAGGTTCCTGCCCTGAGTTCC